GAACGCTTTATCGTCTCGTCAAATTTCATGTTTCATGCGATGTGCACTCGAAACCCCGCGCAAATTCTGAAGTTGAAAACGATTCACACATCGAAATCCGTTACTGGTAAACTAAACATTCAATTTAACAGACTTTTCATCAGCGCTTGCGGTGGAATGAGGTGAAATAGACAGCTTAAGATGACAGAATAGCCGCAGGTTGCGTTAATCTACCGGCTCTTACTCACAGCTCTGCTTGATGACCGGATCATGAATGTTTGTTTTGTCATAGATGAAAGTTTAGGGGAACATGGATCAGAAACACGAAGTCTTCTTGAAGAGACGCTGACAGATGACATGGTGGGGGAGACAGCTAGTCTACTTGAGCCTCCTGCAGACCCAAATCAGTCTGGAGACCTGTTGGAACAGACACTGGTGGAGGAATCCGCTGATAAGAGTCACGCTCTTGATGATTATGACGATGATGACTTTACTGGGTCCTCTGGTGGCAGCACAAACAGAGGAAGTGGAAAGGTATTATATTTTCCTGTTTAGGGGAACCCAAGTTGTTATGACTGTAAGAGTTTTAGGTCTAAAGCCTTTACACCTTAACATCAGTATGCATATTCTCCATACTGCTCTCCATGCATTTCTTAAGAAGCTGAGAAGGAGAATTTGTTTAACGATCAATAGCTTCTTTAGTTGGTGATCATTTCCTTTGTTCCCGTGACCGTGTGTGATTCAGGGTTGCTATAATGTAAGGAGAAATTAGATGCTAGTCACCTTTAGGAATCAAAGGGTTGATGTGGACTGAATCAATTGTTGGAATTTTCTGAGTGCTTTTCAACTTTGTATGTTTTCTTTAAAATGCATCTTGACATCAAACGATTTGATGTACAGAAGGGAATTGTTTGTTTGTTTATCACTCTTCCTAGTTTCTTATCAAGAGATGCTGTATTATCCACAGGTTTCTCGGCTGCCAAACCGTTACTTGTCATATAATCTAGATTAAAGGGTAGTTCTTCTCTAGTTAATATAACTTTGATTTTGCCAACTAAGGCTACACCTTTTTGTATGTTCGTCAGCTATTCTAAGATTACTCATTGAGCTTTTTTCTCCTCACGTATAGCGCACCCCGAGCCCTAACAGAAAGACAGGCGAGCCTGTGTATTCAGAGGCATTCGAGAGTCCAGAGAACAAGACAAGCTCTCCCAATAAGAACGATTCTTTGCGATCTCCTAACAGGAGTTTGGAAAGTGGTCCCCTATCACCCACACTGTCAGAAGGAGAGTTGTCTCGTGTAAGCGAGGCGGTTGACAAATCTTCAACCTTTTCGTCTACACGGGTATGGATCTAGCAAGTGTCGATTTGACCAAACTTTATTGAAGGTTGCTAAATGAAACCCAATTTGTTCGTTGTGACATTGTTGTTGACATGCGTAGAAGTTTCTTCATGTTTTTTTATAAAATTAAAGAAACACAGCTACGTTCGTAGACAAACCCCGTCAAGTCAACCAAGTATTTCCAAGTCTGATTATCATCGACAGAATGTTTTACCATATACGGTCAAACGTCGGGCATGCGCGACAGGATCAGTTTTGGCCACCCGTGCGCCAATTTCCCGCGCAAATTCCGAAAGTAAACACAAGAAAATAAGCGAAAGTAAATTGAAAAGGAGGACTCGAAACTTTTCAAACACAAAGCTGATTTTAGTACGGGTATCCTGCTGATTTATCATTTTGTTTTGAACCTTACCACAAAAAGTTTTACGCTTCTAAAACACCGCGATGTATTTGCTTATGTGCTTGTTTGTAAATCGTGTGAGAAAACTTGGTTCAGACAGCTTGAAAGCACACCACTTGGTTATTACAACGTGCACACATGTGCAGATGTGTGACCGCTGTGTTCTACTATAGATGCCAGGGTTATTACAATTTGGAATATGATGCGCTTTTCATTTTCCAGTATTTTATGATGAAATCTATTTTGTGAAAAGCTGGACGTTTTTATTGCCATTCAGCGTTCTCCTTCAAGGGACCAAGACTCTCAAAGCCCTGTTCCCCCTTACGCAGCGCCGATTTACCCACCGCCGTCAGTGTTTACGCCATCACATCAAGGGGGTGACCGGCTGTCACCTGGATCTCTAGACGTGAGGCTCACTGCAGAACTGAATAGATTGGAATACATGGAGGAATCGGTCCGACAACTGACTGACGTGGAGCGGACTCGGGCAGTGTCCATGGCACAACAAGAAACTGTGTCTTTGGCTCAGATACTGAAGGTGAGTGTATGGATCAGATTTTCAGTGAGTGTCATTTTATTGGTAATCCGGTATGGAGACTGCTTTACGTTTGCTTATAGAGCAGTTTTCAACTAATTTTCAAAAGTAACCCGAGAGTGCTTTGGTTCTGCCTTACTTCGCTCTGTGATTGGTCCAGAAAACTCGCGCCATCCTCTCAACCAATCAGATGCAAAATTAAAAACAATCGCAGCTTGCTCACCCGCGTTTTCCGGCGCTTTAGCCAGTTTAATTGTTTTTACTTTGAGTTCTCATTGGCTCTTAAAGTGTTTCCCCTTCTTCTGATTGGCCGTTGTGATTACTTTGGTTTTGGTATTATGACACACAACCGGAAAACTCTCTGTTTACTGTGATTGGTCTAGAAAACTCAAGTCACTTTCTCATCCAATCGGATGCAAACTAAAACTATTCGTGATTTGGTCGCCCCAGTTCTCTCGCGCTTCAAGCAATCTTTGGTGGCTTATTATTGTAGTGTCATTGTGGCTTTTTCGATCAATTATTTTCCATTTTCATGTTTGTTGATGGTATTGTTGTCTGTTTTACTGTTAGTCGAAACAACTGTCGCACGCCAGAGACATGGAGAATCTTAGGGCCAAGGCTCGCGAGGAAGCGTTAGAAGCAGCTAAGCAACTGGAAGAGGTAAGGCGCAAAAATAGAAGGATCGCACTAGGATTTATATGCTAATCGAGAAATTTTCAATTCAGTGTCGAAAGTAATACGAAATTACTTTGGTTTTGCTTCATTTCGCCCTGTGATTGGTCCAGAAAACTCGCACACTTTATCAACCAATCAGATTCAAAACTAAACCCAATCGCCTCTTGCTTACTGGCGTTTTCCCGCGCTTCAGGAAGTTTTTTTAATTTGAGCTCTCATTGGCTCCTTCTGGTCTGTCCCTTAATCTTGATCGGTCGTTTTGATTACTTTGGTTTATGTTTTACCTCACTCAATTGAAAAGTACTCTATTCACTCGAAATATAATTATTTCAATAACTTAAAAGTTATTCAAGTTTGATTAATTCAAGTACCCAGTCAATTCCTTTATCGCACCTACGGAGACCACAAAATACGCACAGCTCGCCACATTGTTTTTTAAAAATCACCTCCAAGCTGAAGGAATTCCTTGAAGAATTACTTGGAGAAGAGGAAAACATAAAAGGGATAATGAAAGAGAGGTAGAGAGAAATTAGGACGTTGTTGACGTCAGAGAAAATTTGACCCAGTTAAACTAGGAAACAGAAACAATTCAAACAGTCTAATTTCATCCAGACACTCGAGCTGTGTTCTGTGTTCTAGGCCATGTTTTTTTCTAGTGACACGTTTTGCTGAACAATATTCTTGTCGTGCGTGGCATTTAAAATTACTACTTATTCAAGAATGGCCGTAAAGATCTGTGTCGACAAACTTCTGTATAGTCTTATTTTTTTCTTATTACCCTACTGCCCTTTTAAGATCTTTAATATTGTACCGATTTTCAGGCCCGACGTGCGGCGGCGGATGCTGCTGCAGGAGCAGCTGAGACGATTGCTCGAGTGAGACTGGAGGCGGCTGCTAGCATATCAGAATCCGCCGACCGGCTAGTTACGGTAATGCAGCTTGTGACTTGTTGTATTCATTTGTTGGTCTTGTAGTTGTCGTTGATTGGTTGCTGATTTCTCCCTCTGTGTTTTATTTCCCTTAGGTTCAGAGTGAAGCTGCACGCACCACAGCCGAGTCAGCTAAACAAGTCGAGGAGGTTGGTGTTTTAACTTATTGTTGCCGCTACAGTTATGTAGGACTGCGTGCGTTTTTCCCTACCCCCACGCGCGAAACGTTGCACTGACCTCTCGTGTGAGTTCTTTTCACCTGAATTGATGTAATAGTCCGCCATCTGGTGATCCAGCCTGAGCAGTTCCAAGGAATATTTGGAAAAACAACTTCTATGAAAGAGATTTAACTTACAAAGCGATTTTTTCCCCTTATAATTGGATTACCGACTCGCCATTTTTTTTAAAAATGTGTCTTGAAATGATGTTCCACATTACTTTTATGTTGAGTTTTCTTTCCCTTACTTTCCAGGCCCGCTCATCAGCCGCGCGGACATTATTGGAGGTTGCTAAGCAACAGACCGTTGACACACGTGGTGTTGCCGCAGAAGCAGCTAGTGCAGCCGCAGAAGCAGCTGTCAAGAGCAGCATGGCGCGATTTCACGAACAGCAAGAACAACTGTTGAGAGAAAGAGAAGCACGTCTAAAAAGCTACCGTGATAGAAGTCGAGACGTGACGCGTGACAGTTACTCCAGTTACTCAACCAGCCAGCGCAGCGACAGCTATTCTAGAACAAGGACCCCACGGTCAGAAACTGATGCGGTAGACTGGGGATCACAATCCAAGGGAAGTGCTAGTAAGAGTAGGACGAATGTTGGTGATGATGTGGATGTTTCACGAAGTTCTAAGCAAGATAGAACTGTAAGGTAAATAAGTATACCGTCGGTTTACGGCATGTCTTTATTTCTGTATGTAAAGCTAATAATTACGATGACAAGTGCTTATGCAATAGTTCCACCATTGTCCGTTGCGTAACGAGTAAAGGTAGCCAAATACAACTTGAGATATATCAAGAAAAACAAATAGCTAATTAAGATACATCAAAGTGTTAAAGACAGCCTTATATACCATGTTCTAGTTTATTTCTATCCTATCGCGTAAAAAAAGATGATTGAACGAAGACTGATTCTGTTTTGACTTGGTGAAAAGGAAAAGAACAAAAACTCTTCCCTTCTCTTTTTTGTCTCGTTTACATGTTTTTTTTCTCACAGATAATTCTTGATGGAGATCCGTTTCAAGGGCAATCGTGTTAAACTAGCGTGTGTTGATGTGTTAGTGCAGTTATCAGACACACGACATTTATCATTTACATAACAAAATGGAAGTATACCTTGCATTGAAGAGAAAGGAAGCATGTTCGAGCGTTTAATTCTGTGTTTCATAGAAACATGGAAATGCCTTGGGCTGTTGACACTTTTTAAGGGAAGAGAGCATAAGTTAACAAATTTAGAATTTTAAGCCAAGTGACGGCAGTAAGCGAGTGAGTTCCTTTCTCTTCGTTGTAGTATTCTTCAGTTTTGATCGATTTGAAAAGAACTCGCGAAGTTTTATAGCAATCGCGGTGATGGATTGGAGAATAATCCCCCGCGGCTCATGTTTCCACAGAATTGTTTTGTTCAACCAAACTTCAACATATGCCACGTAATTATTTTTTTAGGGGATAAAAATCGTCGTGTGTTACAACCCTTTGTTCGGTTGGCTTCGTTTACTCGTGTCCCGAAACGGCTTTTGTCGACAAATAAAATGATTTCAGGTTAACTTGTTTAGCGGCAAGCCGATTTAGAAAGGACTGTCAAGTTGTTTTACCACGAGGAAAAAAGTGAGAAAGGAACCAAAAACTCAAACTGTAACTGTAACCTGAAGATCACATCTTTATTTTATTACTTTATTTCTAGCGTTCGTACAGCAAGTGGTCTATCAGTGGACCGTTCTGCCAGCCACAGCCGGCGCACCCCCACCCGGTCAGAAGCTACTTCGCGCTCGCATCACTCAACACTAGCAGGGGAGGAGTCGGGTAGCATTCCCGAAGAAGTTGATCACAGTGTGGCTGATAGCGTTGCATCCGATCTTGGACTTGACCTGGCTGATGATGATTCTATAGCTGACGTGTTGACGGGAGATGACGTCAAAAAACCATCAGGTAAGTACGGGAAAAGACAGCTGTACAGTCACTCGTCTGGTGGGTTTAACCCCTTGGCTCGTAAGGAAGACTAGCATCTAATTTCTCCTTGTAATGTCTCCCTGAATTATATTTTAAGGTCGCGAGAAATGATCACAAACTAAAGAAGCTCGTGATTGTTAAACAGATTCTCTTGGTCACCACCTTAGGAAATCTATGAAGAACTGTATGGAAACGCTATGTGTCTTACCCATGCCAAATGGGTAAGACATATATTTTCTTCACATATCAGCCCTCTTTAAATGCGATAAATATGAGAAAATGGTTTTATTTACTTCCGCCTTCCTCCTTATGTACTGAGGGGGAGGTAACCCGTTAGTCTGTTCAGTGCAATTGTGAGAGAACCTATGAACTGGTATGTTGCAACACTTAGCAACTCACTATTGGCAGTGAACATTAACGACTCAGCTAACCTTGAAATAAAATGATTTAGAAATTTCTTTTTGCTCTTTCAGAACGCTTAGAAAGGTCACCGGAAGAAGACTACACGCTGAACTTCGAAGAGACAGTGATGTCATCACACACTGCAACAGATGACGAGATTGACTTCCGAATGATTCTTCCATCTGAGAGCCACAGACGGAGGAGCCTGGGTAAGACAGGAAGGCGCGGCAGCATAGGTTCTGACCAGGGGACTGTATCTTACTCGTCCGTAAGTAAATATGAGTTTTAACGTTGTAAAATGAGGTACTAAGTGGAAACCTACAAAGGTAGTGTCACAAGGTAATTAGACGACTACAAAATACTGTTTACTGAAGTTGATATCCCAAAAATCCTTGGGGAAAGTGTGAAGGCAGTATCACCATCGCTCCACTTCGTTTTGATTGTTGTTATTTTGTCTTAATCGATGGTTTGGCATAATACGCAAAATATATACACAAACGAGAACATTTGAGTGCCCATAATCGCAGACAGAATAAATACGTTTCACTTAAAAATTCGTCGCGTATTGAGTGAAACTAAAATAAATAAATCCAATTTGAAGTATTATTTTGTGGTAGCGCAGAAGAATAGCTTTTCTTTTCCAGTAGCGTGCTTTCATGCGTGTTTCAGCCTTTTTTAGGGACTAACGCCTTTGATATGTTGGTGGTGATGTATTATTTTGCCTTTTTTTAGGACGATAACCATGATTCTCAGGATTTTCCGGTTGACAAGGTAGTTGTTGATTTATTTACTTTAGCTGGCTAATTGTAATAAGCGATCACGATAGGGCTTGATACTTAAAAATAGGATTTTGTTTTAGGATTTTTCGAACATTAGAGGATTTTTAGACGGTAATCTTTAGAAGAATACAGCCGTTAGCTTAAAAAATTCACGTGGTTCGTAAAGCCTTCCTCGGAGTTCTTCCACTGTTTCCAAGCGGGCTCCTTCTATACAAATACTACTGGTCAGTGGTTAAGATCCTAAGTTGTTTTCCAGCATGCCTTTTTAAATCACTGTGAGGCCTCAGTGCCTGAGACAAAAATTCGAGATTTTAGGACATGATAGTGGGATTAATCGACAATTTTTTTGATAATTTCCGGCCAAATGTTATGGCCATTTTGCTGGATGATGGTATTTAGGCCAAGTCCCTCCCCCTCCCCCCTCCAACCAAAGGCGATGAATAATGACTGGTCCTTAACCCTTCCCTTTTTCCCCTAGACGTTGGAGGAGTTTTCCTCAGCGCCATTTTCCGGTGAAGATTCATTCTCTCAGTTCACGTCCGAAATGGTCCGTTTGATGAAGGAGGAAGAAGTTCGAGCCAAACATCAAGCTGGGCTTCTACGCCTGCGCGAAAAAGCCCTGAAGGAAAAGACACGAGCCGAGATGGCCTGGCTTGAATGTCAGAAGCAAAGGCATCGGGACAAGGGCGCTGATGATGTCATGCCGTCAATTAGGAAGCGGCAGCGAGGAGTTTTAATGAGACTTCAAGCTGAACAGGTCGGTGGAGGAAAACATGTTTGTATGCGGAAATTAGTATTATGCGAAATTGTCTCGAAGAGACTGTTGTAATGTCAACCTGTTTTAATCCCATTAATTCTTTTTTGGGAAATCTTTGTGAATTATTCTGAGAAATTTCCGAGCAGCATTATTTGTGACTGTCGTCACATTGCGCGGTTCTCGTGACTGTGATGATTACTTTCGCCCTGGTTGCCTTTCACCAAAATTAGTTCTGTGTGGAACATGTAAGGCCAAACTTACTCGTACGATCTATCTTTATGATCTCTTAATACATCCCTTCCTAATTCATGTGTCGTTGCAATAGTGAAATGATCTTCTAAGAGAATTTATTCTCTAACACCACGTCAAATCACATGAGCGATTTCCTGTTTTGGTCTAATTCTTGTCCTTACGAGGATTTGCCAAAGATCACTTGAAGTCTCCTTCTGTTTTTAAACCAGTAGGGATGTAGTCATAATATCTTAAGGAGATTAATTACGTTGTTTAATTTGTAATTGTTGGGTTTTCATGATGTTATTTTTGCCTCTGTCAGGCGGAGATTAAACGTCTGAAAGCTGCGAATCGCGCAGCTAGCTACGAACGGCGTTTGTTGTTGATGCAACAGGAGGAGATTGCAAGACTGAGAAAAAACACCAAGAAAGTCCGAGAGAGGGCGGCTACAGAGCAGGCGGTGCACGGACAGGAACGGACTGATAACCTGAAAACTGGAGAAAAGGACTCTGCAGAACAGGCAAAGGTGAGGTGTTACAGAAATTAATCAACCTCTGACATATAATTACTGATTCATCCAACTGAGGAAACGCGATCTTTGTGATACGGGTCATTTATTGGGGGGGAGGGGGGGAAGGGGGGTGGGCGGCGTCAAGGGGTGGGGACTTGTATTATTTAGTTTTTTTGAGAATTTAGGAGCTGCACGATGAGGTACCTCTTTATGCTCTTCTTTCAACAATGATTCCCTTATAATTGTTTTCATATGAGTGCTCTGTCTTTAAATTGTGACGTGAATTATGTGAAGGAAACTTACATTTAATTAATCAAGACATCAGGGAGAGACGGTTTCAAGTCTATTCGAGGCTTAAATTCTTTTTTTGTTATGTTTACTTTCGACATTTGCTCTGACTGCAATTTACTTGTGAAAATTTATTCCTTACTCTACATTCACAAATCTAATCTGGTTTGATGTGTTTTTTTTGTTTTGTTTTTTTTGCGATAAAGATTGCATTGCGGTGAGCAAAACACCGCTAACCCCGCACGGTTGTCAGTGACAAGTAGCGCTCAATCGATATCTAAGACGTACTGACTGGTTTCAGCCCTGCCTAAACTTAACTTTAGGAAGATTTTTTATAATAATTAAATGTAAATTGGAGTTTCTAATGTGATACTCTCCAATTGTATTCATTTGTGGTCATTTAAGGCATCTATCAACGTTCGTGCTGAACTCACGAAAGGCACGCTATAATAGAAATAGAACTCCTCATTTTGAAATTTCTGGGATGTATAGAGTTACATTCGTCTGATAAGCTACATTATTAATAAGTATGAGTTGTTTGAATTTGCCTTATTTGTTAGTGTAGTCTTTGTTGCGTGCTTTTCTCCCGGACTTTACGAACAGGAAGTGTGCTGTCAACAAAATGTCATCGAAGCGGTTTTTTTTTTTCTTGAAAGCTCTCTTTCGTAGTTGTTGCGTGTATCTTTCTGAACAGCACTGCGTGTTCGCGTGACTTGTTTGTAAATTTTTAATGTTGCGTGCACACTTCAAGGACGGGTCTTTATTTATCGGTTGGGGTGGGGGGCTGGAGGATTTTGGGTGTGTCACTAAAATCCCCCCTAAGATTCTATAGTATTCTAGTGATTCTCCCTCACTGACAGTCAATTTTCTGCAGTTCCCCTTTTATACTCTGTTAGTTACGACTGACCCTCTATTACCCACCCCGTTTCCCCTGAAAACCATGCAATCCCCTCCCCCCAAAATAAAACTTCGATCGATAGAGAATGGCGGATCCCTTACCACTCAGCGTAGCGCTGGTCTCTCTCTGTAAGTGACGTGTACTGCACTTTTGCAACCATTTGCAGGGATGTGTCGCTGCCACCTTTATTTTTATTTAAGGATGCACCGACCCACCGACCCACCAACCCCTGGTTTTAAATCTCATGTGCTGTCATTCTAGTAATCATGTACCTTTCTTACGTAACCATAATAACCCTTTGACCTCTATGAGTGATCACACCAACCCAAGAAGTTCCTGATTGTTTAACAAATTCTCCCTGTCAGCACCTAAGGAAATGTATAGAGAACAGTATGGAGAATATGTATACTGATGGTAAGGCGTTATTAACGGTTAAACGACTTGTTGTTATTGGCTCTTATGAGAATCAATTCATTACTTCTTTCTTTTACTTAGTGCTCATTAGTTGATTTCATCTTGTATAACCTCCCTTTCAGAGCGAGGCTGAATCGACTGAGGTGGTCGAGGAGTTGGATGAGAAACCCGCAGATCATTCCACTGGCAGTCGCTCATCCGTCTCAGAAGACATCAAAACTGCTTCACTTTCGGCCTCAGCTGCAGCGAGTATCGCTGAAGAAATCCCTACCCACCAGTCTCCAGGAGCCAGTCGGGCCGAGTCTCGTCCGTCCAGTGCTGAGTCTGGTACTAGCGAGAGGAAGAGAAGATTATCAGAGGGAGACAGTGACGAAGGCTCTGCTAAGGAGGGGACTGTGTCCGCCACTAAAGGGTCACCAACAGCTTCAGATTCTACTGTTATGCAGAAGTTGAAAAAGTTAAAACATCAATCAAGCGAGAGGTCAGTTGTTTATAGGGATTTTATTGAATAACGAGTTGCGGAAAGTAAACTGGCCGAGCTCAATCCTCATGTTCCATTCATTAGCTGAAAATTTTGTCACCTAAAATCGTGTTCACAAGCCGTGGAATGTTACGGTGGAAGTTGTATCTGGAGAGAAAGGGTTGGGAGTTGGAATGATAAAAAGGAGACCTAGAATTGGCATTAAACAGTGTGTCGAGATGCCTGCCTGCCAAATTTTGGTGTCAGTTTGATCGAATAAAAGCTTGCAGATTTCGTGCGCCATTCTTATGAAAACATCGAAAACGGTTGTGTTACAAGTGCAAGTCCTAAAAAATCCATTGTTTGAGTTGTCCTTGCCAAAAGGTGTCTACGTTATCTATGAGTGCAAGCAATCTGCCTTGTGTAACTATCTCAATGTTATCGTTTGGCAACGCCACGCATTAAATATAGTGGAAGGTATGATAAAGCTCGTTTGCCTTTGCTGCTATCGGCTGCTTCATGAACTTTGTGTCTGATATAAAATTTTCTCGCCGGAAGTGAAGGTAGGATTGTCTTTCCGTGCGATTTTGCTCTGAACTTGTAGATGTCTACAAACCTCGGCTTGTTACGAACAGAGGCCGGAAGTTGACTATGTGAAAAGCTAACAAATTGTTCAAGGAACTGCAGCTGTCTGAGGGCTTTTCCTTGAGACTTGCTGTTGTACTTATTAGTATCGATTTTGTTGGATTTTTTTTATTTGACTGAAATGATGATTTGCAGTGACTAGGATATGTTCCGTTTTGTCGTGTAAATTTCATACTTGTGTTGTTTTCGTTTTCCTATGGTAAGTGTTCAGCCAGGTCACGCTTTGTCTGGTCCTGTTGTTCGTGCCATACATGTCTATGAAAAAGAATCAGTGCTATTTACACAAGTATTTTTCTACCTTTGATAGCTTATGTAAAATTGGCTTATATCTGAGAGAGGAAATGAACATTTAGGATATCATGCTCTGATCATGTGCTATACAAACTGTTGTTTTGATTTGAATAGCCAAGTGACCTGTTAAAGCTCCCCTTTGTTGATCTTACGGTTGTCGGCGTTAAAACCATGAGAATTGTTCGTGTGCTCTACAATTTCGTTATTTTTTTTTTATAAAACGTATACGGTAATCAATCATGAGAAACGTTCGAGTCGAAAAGTACAAACAAGGAAGTGAAAATGAAACCGGCTGAATTACAAAGACGATAAGTGCGCCAGTCTAGGACTTTCGCTGCTCTGTAAGTACGACTGAATTGAATTAAGCTCTCTCTTCAATTAAATTTGCTGTGCCCGATGATTTTTCAGGCTAATTGCTGACCCCGTAAATATTAGCTAGGACAGCTTAAGACCTTTGTCTTCTATAAATATTGTTTAATTCCTAGTCAGATCTGTCCCGGAAATCTCATACAAAACTTATCCAACACTTGAGTGACAGTGCTATTTTGAGGTAAAACATCGACGATAAGATTCTTATATTAAATCTGTATGTTTACGGAAGGCAATATCTTGATAATATAACCGATTTTTTTTGAGATCGTGATGTTCCTAAAGTATATCCAAACACCAACATGCGAATAATAAAGCTATCAAATTTCTTCTTCGTAAATTTTTGATTTACGTGAAATTTCTAGCTCCTTCCGCAAACGCGAAGACAAAATTCCGAATAGCATTTTCACGATTCAACGCTTTTGAATGAGCCAATTTAACATCTTTAATTTTAGTGGGTTTCTGCCGGCCAGCCAATATGATGATAAGCCGAGGCACATCCCGGAGCGGTAAATTCTTCCAGTAATTGACAACTAATGACGTAAGCAGCGTCTCACATTCTGTGATCGGTTTAGCGACTCAACTGTCAATGCCGACAATGGTGTCTTCTGTTGTGTGTCCGGTGAGTTTTGATGGCTTAGATTCAAGGTTAGCCTAACAGCAGTCGCTATTTGACGACTTTCTGTATTTGCTATTGTGTGTTAAGCGGCGTCGTGATTTTCATCAGTGTTTTGTTGACATTCGATAGATTTTAAATTCAGACTGTGTGGATTATGTCATTTTCATTTTTAAAACGCGTAATAATTTCAGGGACTAATTTTTTTTTAATATTTACCTTGGGTGAAGTGGTTTGAATTTGACTTCTTCCAATCGATTTACGGCCGTAACATTTTATGGAAACCTGGTTTTTGCCTATGGTAGACCAACGAAATTATTCATTTGTTAATTTAAAATGGATCGTTTAGAATTTGACAACACAAGATGTAATACACTATTTAAAAACACTTATCTTTCGTTCAAAACGTAAGTCCAAATGTACTGATAGTAATTAACCGTGACAAACGGCTCAAAAAGTATTTTTATTTTTTAAGGGATTCATAGCGTTTAGAGTTTCCTTTTGCGTCGAATATGCAAACAGAACTTAGAATTTATAAATTTAGACATGTCGTCACACTTCGTTGGATACTGAAGCACGTTCCACCAATTTTAAACAGCTCTTTGAATATTTTCAAAATTATTTCCACAAGTTGTCACAGCGAAAAAAAAACTACACATTCAGTGGAAATATCCAGCATACCCGATTCAGTTTTCCTTCAATGGCCGGTGCCGCTTTTTGTATTTAAAACTAATCTGCTAATTGCTTTCGGAATCTACTTTTCTAGAGTAATTTAGTTTTTTTTTTCCGCCGAGCTATGCTTTGTATGCGGTGCCGTAAGCTTCGCAGGTGAGAGTGTATTTGGGACTTATTGAAATGTTGTGATTTATATTTGCTAACCACCTGTAAGGACAGTCTATTTTCAAGTGTGTTGAGTTGGAGAGAGGATATACCATGAGTTCTTCCTCTCAATCCTCAGTCAAACATTATTTCTTTGCTCAATACAGACAACCGTATTATTTTCTTTGCTAGTACCGCGTAAGTGTCTTCAGAACAAACAAATTAAGATATGAAAATGAAAATAAATTTTTCTAACGGGTTAAATTTCCTTCTCTGTCGTTTGCAAATGGCAGCACAGTTCGTTTTTATTTCAGGACAAGTAAAACATTTCAAATTGTTTTTTTGCGGTCTCTCGACGACTCAGAACCTTTATAGCGGTTTAAGTTATCTTCTTTACCTCTCGCCTCTTGGCAACAACCAGCCATCGTTAACCGAACTACATCTTTTGCGTTCGCGAAACCTTTTTTAAGTTCTCTTGTATTTGTGTGCCACCCATTCTGTTCGCTTGTGGAAATGAGTATCGCTAGCGACGAGAGGCAAAAAGACTCGAACCAATATTGAACTAAACAAAACTCAAAAGCAGTGTCATTTTGAAATGTCCTTTACTCTTTAGTTTTGGGCAATTCTTATTGCTTTTAGTATTAATGAAACTTTCCTGCAGAATCAGGTTTCACCTACAGCTATTCGTGTGATGCTTGTGGCGTTGAGATATTAAGGTCGTTTTTTAGGATTCGTTGAGGAATTACGACCTAAAACTTCTCAACAAAGTTTCTCTACAAAGTTTTCTAGAAAGTCCCTATTCACGTGCTCCGAAAAAAAAACACGATTAGCAAGAATACTGTGGATTCCTGCCAGAATGAGACGTAGAAATGAAAACAAATAAAAGAACCGGTTAAACATTGCGAAGCCCTAGCGATAATCACTTGTCGTCGCTGATCAAAACCCGCGTAAAATCGCTTATGCTATTAGGAATTTCCTGTCATAAGGCTGTCTTAGTTAATGGTTCCCGGAAGCCGTCTAACTGTGCAGTTTGTTGGCCATGATGTGGTTGTTTTTCTGCGTTAGAAGGTACTGTACTTTTTGCTTCTTTATCATTCCACCTGCTGTTGTTTTTTTACGGATACGTAGACGTTTTCGCTGATCGCTAGGTTCAAACAGTTACCCCGACTATGATCCAGCCGACAGTTTCTCAGTAGAAGTGAAAATTCTTTATTTGACTCTTTAATTTTCATCCGAAAACGTTTTTGCAATTTATTTCTGTGTTCCTTGCCAGTATTGCTTAACTGAAAACGAACATTACGTTTGTGAAATAATCGAATTTCTTTTTCATAGTAACAATCCTGAGATTCTCTTTCAGTGAGCAATTTGTCTTTTAAGGCGATTCGAAATTTAGTTTTATTGTAAATTTCAAGGTAATTTATTATCAGTGGTACAGCTGTCGTGTTTGCAGCTTGTTTGACCGGTGTGATAATCAGTGTTGATAAAACCTGTTTGTAGCGGTTCAATCTCTTCTTAGGACAATCCTGTTTTTGTTTTCCGCCTCTCCTTCTAGGAGGGAAGTGTTTGGGTGAGGAGAGGATGTTACGGAAATTTTCCCGCTTTAAACTTACATTGCGTGTGTTACCAAGGGCAATTGTATATATCTGGAAATATGTAATTCACGAGTTACTTGAATGGGATTATGTGACTGTCTGGAATGGAAATACACCGGACAATTGTTCAAAGTTTAAGTCCACTCCCTGTATTGTTCCTGATCCAAAACTCTGTTTAATCGTCTTGTAGTGTGGTGTATGACTTCATATCCGTCTTTACAAGCTGATTCGGGACTGATGCAGTTTTTCTGAGGTGCTTGTTTCCAGTGTTTTTGTTCTCTGTTTTTCGTAACTGCACGAAACGAGAACTCGATCACGCTTTGTAACTCAGTGCAGGCGTCCAGCTCCAAGCATTGGTGACTGAATAGCGCTTCTTTAAAAGCAAATGTAATTTTGGTCGCATTTATTCTAACTAATACACGACAACTTTCGGTAGAAATCGCTCAAGGCCTCGGGAAGTTTATATTTGATTTTAATCGGTTGCAATACTATCGACTCTTAAAGTTGTCGGCTTCTGCAAACTTTCTCCAGGCAAGGCTTTCACTGATCGAACATAAACCGAGCTTGGTACAACATGCGCTTAATTGTTAACTACGTGGTATATCTTTTTGTACCGATGTTTGCTTTCGTGAATAAGTGTATGCATTTCTTAATTTTCGTGCCAGATTCTTTGTTTTGCCTTTTTGCGTTTTTTTTTGTTCGTTTTTTGTTGTTGTTGTTTCTTGTTGTTTGTGTTTTTTTTTTTGTTGTTGTTGATTATAAATTGTGATGTTTTTGTTTTTATGTCGTAGGTATCTAACTCTGCGAGAGCAGAAGCTTATGAAACGACGGAAAGAGGCTGAAAATCTGTTGGAGAACAAGAAAAAGCTTTTGGAATGGGAGAAGCGACTTGACAAAGAAGAAAGTCTCGTCAGGAACCTACTCAACGAAGCTCTAAATCTTGAAAGCTCCAGGAAGCAGCCAAGGACAACCAGCATAACAAGCGAAGAAGAAGAACATAAAGGTATGACGTGAATGATAGATTACTGATTTGAACATTTTTTTGTAGTAGTCGCACTAAATTCGGGGAGGCGAGTTGTAGGAATTAACGTATACCACACAGGTAAATAGTGCCTTTCGCGCGTGCTGATTTGTTGGCTCGAAAATGATTAGCAAGTACCATTCACCTCCGAGCAGCCGAAGAGGAAAAAATCGAGTGTCAGGAGTTCAATTTGCGACTATTTCTCGGTACACTGACAAAAGTAGCCGACTTTATTGGTTCTTGTGTGGTTTATTCTTGGACAATGTACCACTCCGGTGTCGGTGAAAGTGGTGAGTGCTTACTCTGTTGCTCCGCGGCACCGGCGGTAAATATTCACCAGTATTCACCCTCTCTTCGGTAAATAATTGTTCATTATACATGCTTATCCTCAACATTGCGGAATTCAAGTTTTTCGCTACAGGACTTCTACTTTTTGCTTCGGGAGAAGGAAATTAATCGGACAGGTGAATTACCTTTACCTGAAAGTAATCCTGCAGACCTGACACGCTTGTTGCGTTTCTTGTTTACGCTCGATTGTGTTAACTGCGAGATTTTTTTCTCGGTATCGAAACTTAAAATGTTAATTATGGTTGAATGTTATTTTTTAAGGAATTAAGCTATTCTGGGAATATTGGAATAAAGTTTAATTTAATGCTTGATTTTGTGCGTCATATACTCCTCAATAGTATATAGAAAGCCAAATGTTTCACGGCACGAACGTTTCATGACTTATGCCTCACTACGACACAAACACTGATCATTCTTCTTCGTTACAACAGAATTGTTTTGTCTTATTAAAATGAGCTGGTTATTTTAACAGATCGCAGTGGTAGAGAGGCCTCTGCCAGCCTGTCAGTATCTAGGACTCCCTCCAGTAAAGTCATTTCCAAAGATAGATCCACACAAGGAACTGACAGAATCAGTGAATCCATCAAGGCGGCACGGTCGCATGGCCACGAGCGCAGTGCCAGTGAGAGTTCAGTTGCTGAGGAGCTGAGTATTCCCACACGTGACAGGTCACAAGATCAGTCAGAGAGGTCACGTGACAGTTCTATTCCTGAAGTAGACATGAAGACTCGATCCCAGGGTAGCTCGATTCCCGAGGAGATTCCAGAGGAGTATGTCAACGATACGTTCGAGTCGCTGGATAGCAGTGCGACTCCAGCGCACTCCACCCCCGTGCGGAGCGATTTGACGCTTAAGCGAGACACGTCCCCGGCTCTAAGCAGGCGATCATCCACAGGGGAGGGGAGCAAGAGTGAAGAGGACACCTCTATGACGGGTGAGTTGTATTCAATGGTTTCCTCTCGTGGAAAACTACAGCGAAAACTCGGTTTCCCATTGGTAATTCTCACGAGCGGCTGGCTGGCTTACTGTTGCCTCGATCATTATTGCAGGATTACCATAAAAATAGTATTCACAGCACACTCTCGTATGTAGTCAATTCCCGCCAACGGTGCATTTGTGCTTACCTAAGTCGTTGCGGGGGAAGCCCGCCCGCAAGAATTATAGCGCCGCTATATGATCGATGTCTGCAGAAAATTTTCCTTCTTAGACTACTTCTTCGATTTTCTATGCTATTAGCATAACGAGTATGTTTTGTTATTAATATTATAATTTTCTAAGGACTGATGGCTCTTCATCACCATAAGAAAATTTTTTCCTAGATTGCTCTCGTCTTTCAAGACAATAGAAAATTATTTGATTTTTTATTCTTTATCTCAGCTCAACTCTTTTGATCCAGTTGTTGTAAACCAGTATTGTCTGTTAAGATGTTCGTATTTCTTGAATTTCTACGGCTTTAGATGGATTGTGAATTCAAAACGTTAGGGGCTTATTTTCCACACCTTTGATTATGTTCAGTCGGAGGGCATCGTGAATTGTACACTTGTGCTTGTTAAGATGATATTGTCTTGTGTAATAGTCGCCGTGTGTTAGTAAGCTCTCTTTACATTACGATAATGCTACGACGTTATTAGAGTGCTTACTTACTTATCAAACCATTTTGTTTTGGTGATTGTTCATTTTAAGAATGACCCGAGGATCCCGTTTTTTTTGTAATTTATGTGTCCAAAAATTGTTCATTTGTGTTTTTGTGTGAAGAAACACGAGACAATCTTTTAAATGCAGTGGCGGGGTTTTTCTAAAGGTTCTTCTTCGGAGAAAGTCCAATATCAGTTTGAGTGCACGATGCTGACGTATTTTCCGAGTTTGGGTTTTTTGAAGCACGTACCAAATTTGTCCCTGTTTAAAGTGAATCCGTGTGTGTTGCGGACTTCGAGGCTTTTAAGAATAAGTATCTTAGTAGAAATTGACACAACGAATAGTTTCATTACACGAGTTGAACATTTAATATTCCAACTAACGGTTGCGAAACATCGATGAGGAAGTTTAGCTGTGGGCGAGAAAAGAAAATAATTATGATATCATCATCCCCACAACATGGTAATTTGCATAACAAAGTCATTTTAAACATCCTTCATCGAACGCCCGCTAAATTCGCTGTCTTTTTTTCTGTTTTTTCCTTTTTGCTTACTTTCGCTCTGGTTTGTTAATAGAAAAAAATTAACAAAGATTTTTCCAAGAGAGGTATTGTCAACAGAGTTCAATTTTTGATTCCCTTGTTATTTGTAGAACTGCGTTACAACTCATGTTATCACATGCTATCGCCTCCAGTAAAGTTTCCATAGGATTTCCATGTGCTTTAAAAAATGCACTGAATATTTTGCGCCGACACCATTTTGAAATAGCTTCCCTCACGAGGAATGACGGGACGGTAGAATACTTGTGGTTATATTTATTACTTACGTTGCTGTTCAGCATTGCGTGTTTCGTGGAACGAATGTAGCACTGGTTCTCTTTGCCTTGCGTACTTTGAACTATTTACAAGTTCCGCTGCTTCTTCGTGCGTTATGTTTGACTGCTTGTCGTAAGTTTAAACACTTTTCTTTTCCCTATGATTTCATTGTCAACAGTAATGAAGGCTGCATCAGGCCGAGCGAGGTGACCTTTTTATTACGGTGACGCAAATTCCGTTTCTTCATCCGAATTAATGGTCTCTAAATCTTTTCTACCGTTTGAAATTGGTTTAACATGATTTTCTTCTTCTAGGTATGAAGTTGTTGTCTGTTGTTCGTAAATCGTTTTTAAGAAAACGGCGACCAGAAGAACTGTTTAAAGACAAGAGTGATTCCACGCATTCAATTATTGAACGAGATTTTTTAAAATTTTTTAAAACGTATGATTTTGGTTTCTTCAAATTAACAGCATTCAATTGAGAGGGTGTAAAAGAGTTTGGAGTTCCGAAGTCTGCATTATTTCCAGTTGAAACAATTCATCTGTTGCCATCCGTAATGGTTGCTCAACCTTTTCGATGTTACCTTTTGTTAACTGTTTTAATTTAATGTTGCAAGGGGAACCCGACATGGCAAAATGCACGCTTTCCAATAAACTACGTATTGATCGCAAACAGTTCTAAAGGCCTGTTCGGTTAAAGCGTGGTTAAACCTTGCTCTGCTAACTAAAAATTTGTTTCTAGAATGATCTCTTTTCGTTGGAAGATTTAGTTGCTTTTAAATTTGTTGAACATGACAGTAACGGCAAAAATGAATTCCATTTATGCTAACTTTCTTCCAGTCCTTAAATCAATCTTGTGGAAAAATTGAAAACACTTTTTGTTCTCATTAAACTCAAATATTTCCATAAATGTGCCTAGAAGGCTGAAGGAATCGGTAAGAAGTTCAAGTCTTGCCGTTTTCCGTAAATGCCTAACTTCACTGATAGCAAGTTTCGCATGAAGGGAAGAGCATTTGACTGTGGGCAGTTGTACCAAAGATACACAGCGGGTTTGAATGGCCTAGACGCACAAGCCAAAGAAATGTTACGCTTTTTCCTCTTTCTTCTTGTTCCTCGAGACCTTGAGATATGAAGATGCATAGTCAGTCGATTTGAATTGGCGTAGGGTCTTTTTAAACAACGGTTGCGCCGAAGGTGCGCTCTTCTTTCGTTCCTCGGGGTTTTTTCTTTAACGTGAAGCAGAGCAACAAGAAACCTTTAGCTTGCAAATTGTTGTCTTCAAAATTCTTAAAAACTGGTTTTCTTAAAAATCGTTGGATAGTTTTTTTGCTTTTTTTTTAATTGGGAAAAAGAAAACAACCCAACAATTCTCAACGGCTTTTGACGTTTTCGAGCCAGCTGTGTTTGATACCTTCAACCGCTTGGTCTCCATCGATGGCGTTTTTGTGGCTGCTGAACTTATTTGGTAATCAAAGAATCGCTGGAAACAAGACTGTGTTTGCGTTTTTTTCAGCGATCGCGTGTCACGGTATAGCCGTTAAGTTGATCTTCGTTAAAGTGGCGTAGAGCGATTGACACGTTGACGCTTGAGGGCAGCGTTCGTTCGACGATCTTGTAGTCTAAAGGAAAAACGATCAATTAAGTGTTAAAGAAGGAAGATATGCCCGAGACAGGTTTGATAAGTATATGCAAATTATTACGAGAACCAGAGATCAGTGATGTCTTCCTCTGGTACGCGACAAAATACCTCACTGGATCATAGTTCGGTTTGCTGTAAGGCCTACCATAGTTTATTGAATAAAATATTTTAAAAGAAAAGTATTCACGGCATTATCTTGTTGCTGAGTGACTTCCCCTTCAGTAGAAATTGGCCTCCCGTGGCGTTAAGAATAAACATGTAGGTGTGAACTTTCCCCAAACAGTGTTCCGTGGGAGTTTTGTGTGTGTGGTGTGATGCAAGTTACTAGCTGTTCCCACGTTTCATTAGTTATTATTTATTTTAATCAACACTTTGTTCCCACAGTTTCAGTTCTGATATTAAAATTTTAGGCTCTTATCGCCATTCGCTTGATAAATTGTAGTTTTTACAAAATATCCTATCTTATCTTCTTAGGTCTATCGGTCGGTCTGTAGGAAGACCCTTCATACATATGCCTTCACTGTTGACAATTTTAGTTCTGGTGTTTGCTTAAAAACGACTTGACGTTTTAATGGTTCCTTCAAGCTAATTCGGAACCCCTTTCCGCTTTAGGTAGAAATTTCACGTGTCAAATTTCATACATCGCAATGGCTAAATATTATCTCTTGTATTTCTCGCCAGAAACCTCGGACCACAGCGACATCGAGTCTCGTGTTCGCCGCCTGAGAGACCAACTTGAAGTGCGCAAGCGCGAGGTTAAGCGCTTGTATAATGAAAGGAAGAAACAAAGAAAAGCTATGTTGCGGGCTCAAGAGGCCAGCTTAAGGCAGGAATTACAGGTAAATACACGTGGAAACGAGTACTATCACGGGGTTGTTGTTACGCCGTCAATGTCACGCGCTCTTCTTGACGTGGGCGCGTGAAGTTGAACTTTGTACATTGTTTTCGGTCTTTCGGCCTGATGGAAAAATATTTCAAAATTCTGAGGCGAGTTACTGTTTGATATTTTAAGTATTGTATAAGTGTTAAAATTAATTTTTGTAATTAAAATAGAATTATAATGAGGTTTATGAGACGAGTGCAAGGTGCCAGAAGGAGAACTCTTCATTGCGAATCCAAAATATAATTTTTTTTGTGGGATGCGTAATTATCATACAATAGATTTTCAGTGAAGAAATCTCGATCATTTATAGTTCTTAATTTCTTTAGGCTGTGGAAATGGTAATCTCAAGGACAAAGGCCGAACTCAATCGACCTCAAACGGATTCAAAAAGACCAGAGTCTGGCTCTACTGACCAACACCCAATGAGCGCGAAAAACGATTCTAGTGCCCGTGAAGTCAGGTACCATCTCTCTCGAACGTCAGATGTGAGCGGAGGTCGCAAGGTAACACCATCGGAAAAGCCTGTGAAAGTGTCTGCTAGGAGTGAGCCAGCAGGTGGGAGAGTTTTAAGTTCTGTGGATGCGGAAGTTAACAGTCGAGGTGATCAAACAATTTCCGATGTTCCCAGCTTAAAAGAGAAAGATGAGGAGTGTTCTTCTGTCAGTGAGATTAAGACAGGGGAGAGAAATAATTTGTCATTGGGGAAAGGTGAAACTCCCTTGGATAAAAGAGAAGACCTTGATCTAACCGACAGAACTCGAACCCCCGACAAAACCTCCTCGGAAAATCTACGGCAATCAGCCAATAGTGAACGCAAAACATCGATTAGAGATGCCGAAGATTCCCGAGAAGAAATCAAAGATGATGTGACGACGGCCGAAGATGTTTCCATGAGTGAGGATATCGAAGTTCAAACACCGTCCAAAGCATCTCACTCCGACAAGTCGGAACGTAGTTCTCGAGGATCTAGTCAATCTCAATCAGTTAGTCTTCGGAGAGGATCGGATAGTGATCGTAAGAGTTCGGTAAGGGAAAGGTCCGAGGTTGACGTAAAGATCACGAAAGAAGCAAGGACCGAAGAAAATAAATCGTTAACCGAAGAAAATGAAGTTGTTACAAGGCCCAGATCCACTCACTCTGGAAGCCACTCCACCCAGGAACTGAAAGAGTCGAAAGACACCGATCGCTCAGGACAGTCAGGTATCGTCAGCGGGCAAAACTCGATTATTTCCGAGGGATCGAAGTCTTCCAGACGATCAAAATCGCCGGCTTTGTCGGAGAAATCGCAAAGTCTTCAACAGGCGTACAGTTCGTCTTTTGAGAGCGTTGAGAATGAAGTGGACAAAAGCGAAGACGATATCAGTGAGCATATCAGTGTTGAGGAAGACGTAGAAAATAGCGAACGGTCCGAAAGGCAAGATGACGCCCCAGATAAGCCATCTGCGCATCCTGATCAATTTTTATCAAAAGATGAAGAAGGGACAAGAGACATTTCTGAAGTACCCGAGGATATTTCTGAACAATCTGAAATTGAAGTGACACCAAAAAGTACATCACTTTCTGCAAAAAGTAGTGGCCCCGTGTCTGAAAAGGCGGAACAATCCTTAAAAGGAGAAAAAGGTTTACAACTGCCTGAGGAAAACAAAAGCGGACTTGTCTCCTATACTGATGACTTTGAGCCTTCGGCGGTTGACGAAACTGACGAAGGAAAACCTCGTGGTTCCTACACACCAGATTTCGAACCATCCGAGTCGAACGTTCCAGTAGAGGATGACAAAACTTCTCAGGAAAAAGAAGAAAACGACGACTTCAGGTTTTCCTCGAAGAAAAGGGAACTTTCTGAAGGTGTAGAAGTGGATGACAATAAATCACCGCAGGAAGGGCAAGTCCAGAAACCTCCTAAAATTCCAACTCTCGAATTAGAGCAGGCTACCGACGAAGAAAGCATTGCAGAAGAATTGGATGAAAACATTGAAGGCCTTGAGGAAATTAGTGAAGACAGTGATAGTGGGTCCTTATTTGAAGAAAACTACTTCAAAAATGAGCACGGAAGTCTGCAGAGACAGATTGAGGACGAATCCGTTGATGAGAAGGAGAAAATTGATAAAGAAGTATCGCCAGTGTCACCTGGTGTGCTGCCTACAAGTACTCGGCAGTCGCCAGAATCCCGAAGCCATGAATCTGATCAAAAAACTGCTGACAGAATCACTCAGGACTTGTCTATGATGTTGCTGGAAGAGTCTGTGAACTTGGCGACAAGAGTGTTTGATGAACGTCGCCGGATCTACCAAGATTTACCGAAACAGTCTGCAAAAGATAGTACACCTGTTGAGGATGGAAATGATGGTGCATCACGATCATTAGCAGAAACATCCGAAACAGAAGAGATATCTGCACATTTATCCACCTCGCCGAATGGAAGTTTAGAATCTGGACTGGACCGTAGGACAAGAGAGCGAGAAGATTTTGCTCCCTCTCCTGTTGAACAACCTCAGCAGGTATCACATGAACAAAAGAGTAACGACATCGTGAATAAATTGTCAGACGCACTGCTTAAGGAAGCCGCCTCTCAAATGATTGCAATTATGCGATCTCGTCAAGAAAAGTTTGCCAAGACCAAGGGTGAAAGTACCACGGGCTTAACTACTTCTCCAAGGGGGGCAACAGAAGACGAACCTCACTCGGCTGAAGAGAGTCCTCTTTCTTCACCCAGAAACAGTAGATTTATGGCCGTCCAACGCTTTCCCGACGGATTACTGAAGTATACTGAGGACACCTCGACGCCTCCAGGAAGCCCCACAAGTGAGCAGCAATCTTCAATTAACGAGAGAGAATTGACAGATAAGCTTGATCAGTTACGACGTTTACATGAGCATCTGGAGAGTGCACGGGGCGAAAGTGAAGATGAACGCTCAGAATTTAAACTTAACACAAATGCTCTCATGGAATTTCCCTCTGAAGAGGAAGATGAAGAAGAGGAGACATTTAGGCGTTCTAGAGGTCCTTCGTTTCTTTTCTCCGTTCCTCATCGTCCCAATGAAGTTAGCCCATTGGTGGCTTCCTCTCTTTCCGTTTTCTTCGAACGCAAGAGGAGAGGACTGCCTTTAGATAACGTAACACCCCCGTCGGAAATCATCGGAGACGACGAAGCGGACGACGACCTCGGAGCCAATAGTAAACGAGTTTACCAACGATTAGTGTTCGATTTGACCGGCAATTTGTTCAAAGATCTCTTATCTGAGGAGACCCCCACCAAGCGGCCGGCTTGGATGAAAGCAAAACCGCGACGAAAGCACCGTCTGCATCGTGGTCTTCAACCACTTGTCCGTGAAGGAGACTTTCTCCCTGTAGTGCAGCAACAAGTTTTGAATTTAATCGGTTTGGGTGATGCTAGGCCTTCTCTCGAACGTGTTCGTCGGAAGACGCCGCTAAAGGTGGGAAAGAAGGATTTCGTTGACGCCATCCTGATTCAGGAGCTTCGAGAAGAGGAGCCGTTATGGGTAGATTACGATGATGATGAACTTGCCGTGAAGTTCCAAGTGGCAGACGCTATCTTCGAATCGCTTTTATCAGAAACTGTGATGGTGGTGAATGCTGTGCAGTTGAGGCGCGAGGCAAGGGCTGACTTGGCACGCAGCTGACGAAACCATATCCTCTAGTCTTAATATTTCTTTCCTGGATCCCAGAATTACCATGTGCAATCAGTCGCGCATTGAATTCAGTGAAATAACGGTGATGTGTGAACAGACTGGCATTTGAAATGGAGAGGGAAATATTTATGGAGCGTGCAGAAAAATGGCAAGCAGGCACAACTCCAAGCTAACGACTGTTAACGGGCTCAAATATCACGTAGAGTAGTGTCAGTACAACAGTCCTTGTGGAAACAACCTATTGCAGTTACTAGCCTTCCTTCCTCGTTAGACATTAGATCAACTATATTGACATGACTGAAACATTTGAACGGAAAGAATCGAATCCAAGTGTTAGTTTTAGAGAGGTGTACGTCGTCTAAAGGTGTCGGTCAAGAGGGAATTGACTGAGGTTATACCATTCGTTGTTTTCTCGAGCGAAGGAATTAGAGATGACTTCTCGCTCTGACTTGCTTTTTTTACTTGTCATGAACACCCCGTTCATCTGGAAAAAATTGCCAACATGAAAATCTAAAATATTTCCGCCTTACTACTGAATTTCGCCTATGGAAAGGGTTGAAGTCCTGTCGTTTTGATACCAAGGTATAAACGTGAACATGTTAACCTAGACATAATTTTCCCTATCCAAATATACTGTTAAGGGGATCTTAAGTTGAGAAGTGAAGGTGAAGGATGTGTATTCTTGGTTCACATCAGCCTGTGCGGTCGTAGTTTCGTTACTTCTGTCTAAAATTTATTTTTCACTTGGTAGTAAAATGATGAGTGGAATGACAAATATTCTTGCAAATGTTGAAAAATTCTTGTTTTTGCAAATGTGTATAAAAAGTATGAATTGGCATCGTGGTATGTCCCAATATTGTAATTAGAATCCAAGTTTGCTTTGCTGCAACTGTACATAAGAGAGCTTTTACCTTATTTTTGTTTCAAATGTGCTATGCCTTTGTTGAATAAAAAACACCTTTGAAGTTGCATTTTTTTGTGTCGCGTTTGTTTGCGTTGTGGCCAATTTCATTTCAAGGTTGCTCCATTTGATTAACTAACCTCTGAAGGGGAAGGTGACATTAGAGTGCATGCAAGACACCTACTACCTCCCCACAAAAAATTAACGGTTTTCTAATTCCTTGAAACTCGTTTACATAACAAATCTTAATCTCTTACACCCTAACATCCGTATGCATATTCTCCATACTGTTCTCTACACATTCTGGGGTGCTGACAAGGAGAATTTGTTTAAAAATCAAGAGCTTCCTTAGTTGGTGACCATCTCCTTTATTGTTATTTGATTGAGGTCGGGAGAAATTGGATGTTAGTCACTCTTAAGGGTTACGAGGTTGAAGGAAAAACAACAACATCAGTAGCTCATTTACTAAATGCAAGCCTTAATGGGTAAGATTGTGCTTGTGTAGACTTGAACAACTGATGGACAAAGTTAAACATGTAGCTCTCTAAATCAGTATGGAATCAAAACATGAACAACCCATGTGAAGAGAGAGTCCCCTCTTTTGTCCGGTTACTGTTCCTTTTTCAGAGACATTAGCTTGTGTCCATTTTCTCAGCCTTAGTCTCCTTGATTTTCTTTCCCTCTGGTTTCTTATGAATTTGCTGCTGTGTAACAACTAAAAAAGAATAATGTAAAAAAAAAAAACATTTATCTGTATTCCCCCTCTTAGAGTAGCAGCTTAAGAATTATAAGAGTTGTTTGGCACAAGGGGACTTAAGGCTGATATGGGTGTTTGCTATAGTAGAAAGAGTGTTGGGAAAGCATTTCCACCCTTCAACTCCCAGAAGTGATTAACTTGTTACTTATCCCTATAATATCCATTTATTATCCAGCAAACTGGTTCCAGTAATGAGAATACCCAAACTTATCAGGTAGAGGTTGCTGTCTTGAACCAACACCAAATTCTTGCGCCTTGGTGGTTTGGCAAAAGAAATCTTACTCATACAATGTTACGCCCAGTGCTTCCAGAGGCCCCCTTGCCATCTATTAAAATATTGTTTGTAACAAGTATTGTAAACTTATTTATTTGGTAATGAAAAACACCTTTCTCTTTATAAATGGCAAATGAAATTTGTATTTTACTGTATTGTAATAAACTGTGTATTTGTCATTTATTCTGCATATGTTGTTGCTATTACATGTTGATCTTTTTTTTTTTTTTTTTTTTTTGTATTTTCTACAGGGTATTAAATTTTTGCAAGTCCATATTCCCTGAGGAGTTTTATTTCAGGTCATTAATTTTATGATTTTTTTACCATTGCGAAAAACCCTAAATTTAGTACCAATAAGGTAGGAGTACCAGTAATAATACTCCCCCCCCCCTGGATGGGATGCTAGTTCATCACAAGGTTCCCCCCAACATTTCATCAGGCTTACTTGACAATATGTTAATACTCATCAATATTCCTTGGTGGAGAGATGAAGTGTTTTGCCCAAGAACACAACACAAAGGCCCCACCAGGTTATGAGTCTCCCAATTAACCCTTCACACCCTCACATCAATATGCATATTCTCCATGCTGTTCTCTATACATTTTCTAAGGTGCTGATAAGGAGAATTTGTTTAACGATCAAGAGAAACTTTAGTTGATGATCATTTCCTTTATTCTCATGATGTTAATGTTTGATTTAGGGACGATATTGTAAGGAGAAATTAGATGATGGTCAGTCTTAGGGGTCAAAGGGTCGATGATAAAGGACCCTGAATGATCTCCCAAAGGTGTTCTCTGCATTAAGCGTTAGCACGATTTTCCAGAAGGAGTTCCATGCATTTGGAAACATGCTTGATTGTTTGATTATCATTAAGTATCAGTTGCTTTTTAAAACAGGGGAGAGAGACCTTCTTATATAGGATTCCTTCTATATAAGGTTTCTGGTAAGCCCTTATCCTTTGAAGAAACATTGTAAAAAAATAAGCGTAATTTTGTTACCTTCCATTGCATTTTCTTCTTTTCTTTGCTTTTTTATTTCTTTCATTATAAGTCTCTTCTTTTTTGCAGATATTGAAGCACTGCCCCTCTGGTTGTTACTGATAAGAAATGTTCATCAAAAAAGAATGTATCAATTATCATCATATCAAGGCATTGTGAATCTGCCCATCTCTTAGCCCTTCAACTCTCAAGATCCAATTGGCAATTCTCACCACTTAAAGCCATGCTTACCTTGTACAGGACAATTTGGTCTTATTCCCAAAAAGACACCCTCTAGCTGAAAGCTGTCTGTTCACATAACCTGTTTACAAAGTAACTTATTGGAATTGCAAGGAGTTAAACTGTAATTTCCTTTCTGATTTCCGACGATTTTGTGTTAAAAAGCCCCCCCTCCGTCCAAGGCTAGTCAACCATGTTCAACCCTCTCTTAAAAACACAGCACAAAAATGGCAAATTAACACGAAAATGAATGTTTCTTTTTGCTATTTATGTCTCGAGTGTATTAAATTCTATTTCACAGGGACGTAAACGGTGCCAACTCTTTTTCTCTCTCTATACAGGAATATCTGGTTGCATTTGTACCTTTGCTTGGATCCTTTGTTTTTCTGTTGTTGCTTCTTTTTCTGTGCTTTTTTTACTCTCGTGAGCTTGCTAATATTTTTCTGCAAAGCCTGAAAAAAATTATTATTTTATTATTATATTGTAGTTAACATAACTTAACCCCATCAAAGTTCAGCTGCAAGCTTATAAGCCTAATCAAAGTTCCGGTGAACTTTCAGTTATCGTCAACTGACCGAAACTGTATTCAAAGACCGATGTCCTTTCAGATTGTACGTAATAGATTAGGCCGGTGGTCTACAGGGTACAAGAAACACGTGTTGTAACGCAACAAGAGCTCAGATCTCAGATGTTGTGGTACACGAAACTGCCATGAAAGGTATACTCACCGTTTTTGGTCGATTAATTTTATCGCCACCTGTCATTGTAGACCCCACTTGATCTATCAGAAGTCCCAATTTTTCCTGAAATTTTTCTCTGCGTTTTTAATCGACTGTCTGGGTCACGGAACACGCGAAAGAAAATTACATGAGCCCGCAATATGCCAGTCAGTTACAGAGAAACAATACTTTTGTTGTATAACAAGGAGAAAGAAACCACCATCCAATATGTCTGGTGGCTTTTAATTTCTGCCTTTTTTTCGTTGAATCTGATGATTCCTATATTTACCAAACAGTTCATTGCTACAGCAGGATATAAATTTAAACTAAGATTATCACTTCAAACCTCTAAAGAGGTAAGGTACCGATTTTTTAGTTACTTTTACCGGCGAGAATTTTCCTCCATAACCGGGCTTGTCATGGGAGACAATCAGCTGACCGATTCTGGAGCCACTCTCGTCGCAGTTTGTCAGATGAACTCCACCAATGACGTGGACCGTAACATGGGAATTTGCAAAGATTTAATAAACAAAGCCAAGTCGAGAGGAGCCAAGGTGAAGATGATATGGATTTTAAAATGTTTTGTCTCTTAGTCACCAACCCCCTCCCCTCCCCCATCACAAAGTGCTTCGTGGGTTCAATTTCGAACCCCATCCCCCCACCGTCGCCCCTTAACTCTCACCTCTTACACTCCTTTCCCCTTACCCCTCATCCCTTGACCCCACCCCAATTTTTATCCCCTCGCTTCTTACCCCTATCTATGGAAACAGGAATTGTCAAGTACAAAAATAAAAAAAAATGACTCCTACTCTACCAACTGACCCAGCTGGTGGCAAATCTTTTCTTCTAACAAATGCATTTGCACAATCAATTGTTTTCTCACTTTATGTTTTTCTGAAGAACTGATAATTCAAAGCCAAAGCAAGAGTTACCTCTTTGATCCTATGAAATATGCTCAAGAAGTTGATCAGATGAAAGTAAAGATATCGTTAGTTAAATAAAACACCAACATCCTTTTATTTGTAAGACTAATGTTACCTACCGGTATTTTCCTTTGCAGTTTGTGTTTTTGCCTGAATGTTTTGACTATGTAGGAGAAAACAGCGAACAGTCTTTGTCAATGGCAGAACCACTGGAGAGTCCAAGAATGCAAATTTTATGTGAATTAGCAAAAGAACTGGGTGTGTGGCTCTCCCTTGGTGGATACCATGAAAAGGTTCACTTCTGATTCTAAGTATTAGGATGATAAATCAGCTTGGTAGTGCTAAAAGATCTCATTAAACTCAAAATATTGGTGGTAACACTTCACTTGATCCTTGATCCAGTTTAACCCTTTAGCTCCCAAGATCAGATTGTCAATTCTTGCCTCTTGCTGCTACACATTTCCTTGTGAATAAGTTATGAGAATTAGTAGTTAGATCAAAACAACAACTTCAACCTGATAAGGTTGAGTATTCTCATAACTTGTTTGCTGAATAATGTATGGATATCAGAGGGAGAAGTGACATGTTGATCACTTCTTGCAGTTAAAGGGTGAAGGCAGAGGGTAGGGTAGGTCAGGATAGGCTCTCATTTACTTTATTTATCTTTTTTTTTTTCTAAAATGTTATGGTCAAATTTCTGATTTATAAACTTGTTCATGCATGGTATTGGGGAAGGACATTTTCATCATTATCTTTGCAGTGAACTATTATTCGGTGTTCAAAGCATTCAAATTGCAACTGACCCATTATATTTGCATGATATCTTGTAGTTGTGGCCAGTTGATCAACCTTCCCAGGCACAATAGTTTGATCACTGCATGAGAAAGACAACATGACAAATACATGGGAACTTTTAAGCACCTTAATGTGGTACTTGGTAATAGAAGAGATTTGAATTTCAGTGGAAGGAAAACTTTAGGTGAAATCAAAATAATGATATTTTTATGTCAAATAGAGTACTTTTTTTGATTGAGTGTGATGCGACCAAAACAAAATCCAAAGTTTGAGAAAACTGAAGTGGCTGATTCGCAGTTAGTTTTAGCTCTACATCTGTTTGATCAAAAAAGGGGGCAATTTCTTCAGACCAATCTCAAAGGGAAGTAAAACAAAACCAAAAGGTAATTCCAGATTATTTCCAACCCTCTATTGAACTCTCTTTTAATAAATTAACATTAGCCACCGACCTGCTGACAGGTGTTTTTCTCAGTTTAAATGTGATTTATTATATCTCTCATTTATTATGTGTCCTATGATTGGTCAATTTCAGTGTGCAGCTTGTTAAATTCCAAACTTTGTTGGTATTGAAAATCTTTAGCCTCTGTTTAAACCCAGAGATAAATATAGCAAATTTTGTACCAACCTTGTTTTCTTGGTCTGTACTATGAGTTATGGAAGCTTGTTTTTCCTATCACATTTATGGCCATTAATATGAGTGGAAAAAACTCAGTCTGTAACTTACAGTATTAGAGACCTCAAACTGCATTTTTAAGAGTTTTGTATACCTTGCACTGCAGGGGTTAAAAACTTTCTTATGTGGCAATGGAAATAATTATTTTTACTTTCATTTGGGATCTTAGGTAAGTAATTAAGTGTAATCATTTCAGTAGTCATCAGTATTGTTTTCCCTTTTTCATACACTTTTAAATCATAGGGTCCACCAGATGATAAGAGGCTGCGTAACTCGCATGTCATTGTGAATGACAGTGGCTCCATAGTTGCAGTGTATCGGAAAATACATCTGTTTGATATTGATGTGAAAGATGGACCCAGGCTTAAGGAAAGTGACACCTGTATCCCTGGTAACCAGATAGTGCCACCTGTGTCTACCCCTGTGGGGAATGTTGGCCTTGCCATTGTATCCTTTGCGTAATGAACAGTTAAGTGTGGTTGTTGTGGTTCAGATTTTCCTTCCTTTAAGTTTTTCAAACCAGCTTGAATTTTGTTTTTCTCTGACTAAGTTCTGCAGAAGACAAAAATGGAGGTCAGATCGGCTTGAAAATGTTTAAATCAAGGAAAACTTTGAACAATACATATTGTGGTCATCTGTTTATTGGTGGTCTTTAAAAGTACTTTACTTTCACAGTGCTTCACTCCAGCCAGGAGTGTAAATAGCTACTGCTAAACTGTCAGGGTAGCTTGATAAAACTCTGGGAAAGGGGGGAGGGGGGGGGGGTCTTGCAATGGATTGGCATCCCATCTATGGGGAGTAGACTAGTTCCAGCCACATACCTTTTAATGGTTGCTTTAGAAAGTCATGTTGATCTGTTGTAACAACACTAAACTAAGATGAGAAAGGTGTGGTTCCAAGTCCTGGCTAGATTGCTATGTTATATTATGATGCAAGGCACCCCGCTCTTACAGTGACTCTCCTTACCCAGGATGGTATAAATGGGTACCAGCTAACTCAGGGAACCTGATAATATGAAAGACGTTAACCCTGAGCTAGACTAAAATCCTTTCCAGGGTGGAAAAGCTATACTCCCACTTTGTTCATGTCACCAAAACTGGATGAGCTGCAGCAGGAGAAGCCTTATGGCTCATAAGCTGACTTCATTTTTTTATGTCAGTTTAATAACACTGAACAACAACAGCAGTCCTTCTCAGGTCTATTTTCACCTAGGAATCACCTGATATAATTGACTGGTTACCTGATTCAGTAGGGAAGTTGAATACATCATCATTAAAACTTCGCTCATAACTGAATACTTCCTACTTTTCAACAACATTTAACCCTGAGTAATTATTTCAAGAAAATCAGTTGTAATAGTAACCTGGGAACAGCAGCATATGCAAAATGTCATTCTTTCTGGTGCTGTGTGATCCTTAACATGATGGTTGTTCCAGTGCTATGATGTACGTTTTCCAGAGCTGTCCCTTATTTTAGCACAACAGGGAGCCGACATCTTAACATTTCCATCAGCATTTACTCAGATCACTGGATCAGCACACTGGGAGGTTTGTACATGTACTTATAATTTTTACTGCTTATGACTTTTATCAGAGGTCTCCAAATCCAGCAACTCTAAATTCAAAACTTATGAACACATTGTAGCAACAGAAACAGGCAATTTTTAGCCCTTTACCCCAAGCTACCTGGATAATTGAAGAAAAAATGTTGAATTCAAACATTTGTACTCGGCAAAGAGTCAGATTGGGCGGACGTTTATTATTAAAATCAATGTTTGAATCTTAGCTATCTTTTTTTGAAAGGGTAGCTAACTCCAAAAGAAATCATTTATTTAATAAGCTTGAGAGGATATTTTTTGTCTTCATTTCTGGAGTGAATCATGAAATTACCACCACATACTGTGCAGCAATTTACGTTTCGAGGGTGTCCTTCATTTCCAAAACAATCTATTAGATTACCTGGTAACACTTCACTTTCTGAAACATAATGTCCTGTTGTGATTGATTAGTTTTTAGCAGTCGCAAATCGCGTATTTCAGTGATCTGTTACGGTGGAATTTCTATCCTTCTGAAGCTGTTGAGGTAGACAGGATGAAGTCTTAAGCCCTTGACCTTTAAGAGTGACTAGCACCTAATTTCTCCTTAAATTATCATCCCTGAATCAAACAATAAGGAGGTCATGAGAATAAACAAAATGATCACCAACCAAAGAAGCCCTTGGTTGTTAAATTCTCCTTGTCAGCATCTTAGGAAAGTAAGGAGAACAGTATGTAGAATATGATGATGCTAAGTTGTTATATAAGGGTTGAGTGAATCGCCTCTTTTACTCTCCGTGCGTAACTATGAAGATCACCATCACGGCTTGACTTCCATTTTTTTATTATTTATATTTCTTTTTCAAAATAGATTTTTTTACTTCTTTTCAGGTTTTGTTAAGATGTCGTGCTGTGGAGAACCAATGTTATGTCATAGCTGCTGCACAAACAGGACAGCATAATGCCAAACGACGGTCTTACGGTCACGCTATGGTATGTAAAGTGTTGTGACGGTCACAGAGTCACGCTATGATATGTTACTTGTGACGATGGTTATACGGTCACGCTATAGTACGTGTAAACTTGTAAGAACGGCGATACGTCACGCCATGGTATATTCTGTGTTGCGACAATCATATGGTCACGCCACAGGATGAAAAGTGACGATGGTTATACGGTCACGCCATAGTATGTATTAAACGTGTAAGAACGTTTTAACGGTCACGCCATCGTGTGTAACGTGCAATGACGGTCTCGCAATCACGCATGTAACATGTAAGGGTGAATGTGTTTTTACTTAGCTGTATAAACAACTTTTTAATTCAATCTCGTTGAACCAATAGCTATTTAGAGCCAACAAGAACTTTGAGTAGAAAGATATCAATTAAAAAACTTCAATAGATTATTATTAAGTTATTGATAATAACTTAATAATAAGTTCATTGATAATATAACAACTGAACAAAAGTCATTTCTTAGCAGGCCTCGTGTATTGAGTATTGTTCTTGTTCATGTCACTGCAGGTTGTAGATCCTTGGGGCTGTGTTATTGCTCAGTGTCATGAAGGAAATGACGTGTGTGTAGCAGAAATTGACCTTGGATACTTAAACAAGATTCGGCAACAGATGCCGTTGATGAATCATCGGAGAACTGATATCTATGGAAGCCTTAATTCGGGACCGAAGCTTTGAGTATGTCTTAACTAAAATGCCCTCGAGGCGAAAAAGAATTGTCATCTTTCTCATTTCAATTCCAGCTGACTTAGTGTGTAGAATAGAAAAGAACTGCTAATAGCACGAATATTCCTCACAACAAACTGATTTAGCCAAGTTTATTTAATGTAAATAATCATGCACTTCAATCTTTGACGTCAGTCACTTTCTCTCTCAATCTAACTCTCCTAAAGCAAGATAATTTGGTTTTATCAACTGTGTTGATAATGTAAATTAGCCACCTTAAAGAGTTTGTAAAGCTGATGTTTCGAGGGGTAGCTTTCCTGCCGACACAGCACCACAGTTTCTTTAGAGTTTCTTTAAACTTTCTTCTAAAGCAACTCAATTTGAACATAATGTGATGGTAGATTGTTAAATAAAAGTTTTCCCTATCGAATATTTTATCAAGATGAGAATGTTAAGAAACAGTAGAGTAAAAGGTGAATCTTCTCCATATATGAGTAAGCTATAGCAACAGCAGGACATCGAAATTAAGCCGACAAGACCGAACGCAAGAGAAGTTGACCGCTTCCTCCAACATCTGCTACGCTAGTTGATATTACTTTCACAAATTTGCCATTCTTTAATTAAAGAAATAGAGCAGTTTTTAATTGAGTATCGAAAGTGATCCTGGTTCTTAGCTTTTTTATTTACTTCGCTCTAAGATTGTTCTAGAAAACTTACCTACTTTCTCAACCAATCAACTGCAAAACTAAAATCAATCACGACTTGGTTCCCGCACGTTTTCCCGAGCTTCAAGCAGGTTTTCTCTTTTAACTTTGAGTTCTCATTGGTTCATGAAGATGCTAAACTTGGTTCTGATTTGTAGTTGTTATAACTTTGGTTTTGGATTTTCAGTGATTTTCAGTCGAAAACTGTTCGGTCCTAACAAGATGATTCGCTTTGATTTGATACTTTCTTCTTCTTGGATTATCTCTCGCTTATGAGGAAAACTGTCTGACCAAGAAGAATTCGAGCAATTAATTACCAATAATTTTTACTTGAAAATTTCGCTTGGAGTAAATGCCAGTACCTTTAAAACAAACAGGTATCAGCAATAGAACGTTTAAGATAATATAAACTTATCCTTTGATTAAAATAGTCTCAAGAATTTTTCCTGAGACAAATGTTCGTCGAATTATTGAAAAATTTAGCCCTTAAAAAAAACTGATCACTGAGGCAATCAATTTCAAATAAAAAATATGAGCATTACAATGTATCAAAGCAAGAGACATGGGGAGCACTATATTGACCTTACTGTGGTTTTAGAACTTATTTCCTTGCAGAAAGAACTGTCAAAACATTTCATAAGTACGTCCTATTCTTAGAAAATGCCTCTTCATTATAAATAGGGTAACAGATAGTTTCCGAGTAGCAAGAATGTTCAGGTGATTTCAACCTTGAGGGATACCTTTTGTGTTGTAGACATTACATATAATGGAGAACTTCTTAGACAAAAATCTTAAAAATTTGTTTCGCTTGAATAACTAATCACCCGCGAAAAAAAAATCTTAAACTTTGTTCGGCTTGACTGAATTATCGCGCTCAGAAATACTTGCGTAACCTTTGTTTGTTTTGACTAATGAGTTAATGTTTCTCCAACAGAAAGGCTTCTGAAGTTGTTAGCCCTTTAAACCCTAAGAGTGACTAGCATCTAATTTCTCCTTACAATATCACCACTGAATTACTCATTGAGGTCATGAGAATAAAGGAAATGATCACCAACTAAAGAAACTCTTCATTGTTAGACGAATTCTCCTTGTTAGCAGCTTAGGAAATATAGAGAACAGTATGGAGAGTATGAATACTGGTGATAGGGTGTGAAGGATAAACAGGTCAACCGCTGGTTCATAAACATTGAATTATAAACTGTCTTCATAATCCTGATCATGACACGTAGATAGCTAATAAGCGCTCTCAGAAGAGTTTTCCGTTATCAATCTTGTCGTTCACAGAGGGCGTCCTCTTTCTATAGGAAGGCAATTGATAATTGCAAATTTTACTAGGTCCACTAAAGAGGATTTGCTTCTCTCATGGCTGTTTGGATGTTTTAGACACTGGCCAATTTTCAAAATCAAATGTCACGTTATCACCAATAAGCATGAACGGAGCCCACTGAGAAACTTTTTCGAAGCCGTTCTTTCTCAACCATTTCCTGGCCTCGTGAAGGGATTCACTTGCACTTTTACCGCGGAACAAGTTTTGGTAGAAACATCTCATGAATTGCTCCGTGGCTGTGTCTTCTATGGCCCACCGTGCCGCTAACACTGAACGAGCACCAGATCCTAGGAACGCTCGAGCGATTCCAATAATTCCCTCGGCTTTAATCTTTCCACGTGCACCGTGACAACAGCTAAGTACTACCAGTTTGGCTCGCAGCCGAACTTTTGAAATGTCCGCTATCGTCAAAAGGAAGTTTTCGTCTTGTGGAATGAAGTTGGCGGGGCAATTAGGAGAAAGAGCAATCTCTCCTCTTTCGGCATCACCATGGGCAGCAAAGTGAATCAGACTTACTGAACTCATTGCGTCAAGAACTGCCTCCTTTGTTGCGCGGTCTCCAGTCAAAGGTGTCACTCCCAGAAGTCGTCCAATCATCTCCACTTCTCTTCTTGCACATGACAATGATCCTATGATCCTGCGTTTTCCTTTCAAAAGCACCTCGCCAACCTCAGGATCACCCACTATCAGTGCTCCTCTCTGACAATGATAGTCTGGGGAACTGTCCTGAATTAGCTTTAGAGTCGTCAGAGAGGGAACGACGCGGATCCTGAAAGTATCCACTAAATAGTGTCCTCCTTCATCACTGATGGCTGCAAATGGGACTTGGTACATACAGGATTCAGGGACTATTAAAATCTCAGACTCTTTCAGTAAATTGGCCATGGGAGCGATGATTAACTCGTAACACGACTGAAGATTCGTTTTGAAATCTTTTGGATCATAATCACGCACGAGCCCGCGATTGTCATTGTGAGGTGCCATCGATTGGGTGTCATCTAATGATCGATCTTCGCAATTCTGTTGGGGTAAAATGCCAAGGCTGCGAAAGCTCTCTTTGAAAAACTCATCCAAATCAGGAACTAATTGGGTCACCACGCGTTTCTCCAGACTCACTTTCTTTCGTGAGAAATGAATGGCTCCTGATGCTTCGAGAATCCAGTACCGTGCATATTCTTTTCCAACTGAAATATAAAGACACGTACAGTCCGTTTCTTTTGGGATGATATGTTGAATGCCATGCCATGACTTTGGATTGCCTGAGATCAGCTCTTGAACAGAGTACTTGGCTGCCATGAGGTCGGTGAGGCCTCTTGCCCGTCTCAGCTCCTCAACATAAAGAGCATCTCTTGGCTTCCCGGTAGAAGAAAGCAAGTTGCTGAGCAACTTGTATGGAAAATTGCCGTGCTCCTCTAAAAGAGAACTCTTAAAGTGATCGTTATCTTTAAGGAAACCTCGCAACGTGTCGAATTTTCCAATACCTTGAAAAAGATATGAGATGGCTTCTTTGAGATTAAATTGTGATAGCTTCAACAATGTTAGTTGACAAAGGCAGCTAAATTCATTCAAGTTGTGTCCAATATTCTTACTTATTAATAGGGCCCTCTCGATGTATTTTTCGGCCACGTTATTCATGCCAAGCGAGCGGAAACATACCCCCAAATTTATGTACTCGACTGCTTCTTGATCTCTGTCGCCAATTTCCTCAAAGATCGCGAGGGCTTTCCCGTAATTTTCTTTGGCCTTTTCATAATCATGAAGACGATGAGAAATTATCCCCAAATTACCGTAAACTGCTGCTTCTCCACGTTTATCGCCAAT